AGAGATATTTTATAAGGAAAAAATTAAAATGCGAGATGCGAATATTATTTATTTTTCATTTGTTAGATTGTTATTTATTAAACGCATTTTTATACGACAATAATTCAAATTTATTTGTCCGTTTTACGCAATAATATATAACACACAATTGTTAGATTAATAATTATTTCTTTGATTTTACGTTTATAGATTGTGCAAATAAGTATGAAAGTCGGATTGTAAACGTACGAATAATGCAAATAATACTGCGAGTCAATAATTTGTAAATTTGCACAATGTTGATCTAGATCATCGTGAATGATTTATATTAAACTTTGAATTAAACGAAGTAAATTTTGGAATCGCGATTATATTATATTATTATCGAGCAAAAAATAATGTTTTATTACTCTGTTGTGTTAGTGATTAAATTCAAAGTTTTTATCTCCGTGTAGGCGACGAAAAAAAACGTAAAAAAATTTGCTCGAGGAACACATTATGCAAGTTTATCAACGTGCAGACTAAAGAACAACGCATTGCGTGACCGTTCGCAAAATGATAAAAATCTTCGCCAAGGGTCTACTGTAAATCAACACGGGTACGTGTTTTCGGCTTTTTTAATATCATAAATTAAAACACACCGTTCTCTAAAAGTAATTTTACTTGTAAGAAAAACTTGGTAAAAATATATCAGTTTAAAGTATTATTCGTAAAAAAGAAAAAAAACAAAACAAATATACGAACGTGTATATCAAATCGAATTCTAACGTTAAATAATTCGCATTAATCCGATTTAACATAATAAAAAGGAGAAATAAAATAAAGAGGAAGAAGAAGATGGAAACAAAAGCAATTTATTCAATGGTAATGGGTTGACAGGAAGAAATGATAAAAATAAATGTAACTTTTTAAAAACGCGACTTAAAATAGAAATAATATATGAAAATTTAAATGAAATTAAGTTAGTATAGTCATTTTTTTTAAATGAAATATAAATATAAATTTAATTAAAAAATCACGCGTATATATATATATATATAAAATATATTTTTGTTCGCAATTCGTTCTCTGTTCTTGATCGTTTACTATTATACATCAAAGAGGAGTACATTGTAAAATGAAACAATGAGGGAAAACTGAAAAAGAAAAAGAAAAAGAAAGTTGAATGGAAAATGTGGATAAAGAAGGATGGACATTTAATTTAGAAACATTTCTATTGTAATCCTTTTCTCTCTCTCTCTCTCTCTCTCTCTCTCTCTCTCTCTCTCTCTCTTTTAAAATAATATCTTTCCTTTTCACCTCTGGCATACAAGTATTACGTATTTAAGTTAAAACAATGTTGGTGTGTTACTTCAACACACACCCACGTGTACGTACATACATACACACGTATTAAGGGTTACCTGTAATACAACAGGGCGGAACCAGAGTGTATAGGTGAAAGCAGGAGCTACCTCTTGGCTGGGAACATCAGGATACTTTGGATCAATACGACCAAGAGAGAAGGAGACAATGATAACACGTTCAAACTGAAGAAAGAAGGAATAGAAGAGGTAGATAGATGTAGGTGGTGTATTGGTAGTAGTGGTAGTACAGGTAGAAAGGGTAAAACAGAGAGAGAAAGAGATAGAGGGGGGGGTGGCGGGGGGGGGAGTGGGTTAGCTCAACACCTACGCGTTTAAACTAAATCCCTGGATGAATTTGATCTGGGCCAAGCAAGGAACACCAGATCTTCTTATGGTAGTAAAGAACAATGCAATTTTTATCTACCCCTATCAACAACTTCTACAACTACGATCTTTATTCCTTTTTTTTTTTTTTTTCCTAACAAAACTTTGCGTTCAAACAATTATTATTATATAATCTCGGTATACGTATTATCTGCGTCAATAATATCTTTAAATGTGTTCCCCTAAAATAACCAATTTTTCTCACCTTGAGATTATTAAGGTGAATCAAAATGTTCGTACTTTTTTATTATATTGAGATTTTACTCTTGCATATAAAGTATAATTTATATATTGGATTTAAAAAAAAAGAAAAAAGAGGTAAAAATTGCGTTATCTTTTGATTGGCCATAATATTATTAATGGTGAACATTTTTTTTTTGTGGAATTTAAAAGTTACCACACCTCGATTATATTTATCTATCGTCTCTACGAAAAGTTTGTTTCGTATAATTATCATTTTTATTATTGATAAAGAATCGCGTTCGTCTCGTTGGGAAAATATTTGTCATCCCTCGTCGTTAACGTTATTATCTGATATATTTTTAATTGCGTAATATATAACTCGATATATAATAATGGGAAATTTTAATTGTAATTAAAAAATAAACAAACGAAAAAATGAACATTGCGTACGAGAAGGGGGTAGTAGTAGTAGTAGCAACAGCAGATATCACGTTAGCGTTGGTTGCGTTAATTTAAAGTGGCGAGAAATGTTTTAATCTTTTCCTTTTTTTTTTTTGTTGTTGTTCTTCCGTATAAAAAGAAGTTGCTTATCGTCGTTATCATCCTATAGGAGGGAGGTAGAGGTAAAAAATGCGAATGGATGAAATGTCACGTAGGTGGTGATGGTGGTGGTGGGCACATAACTAGGGTGGGATAGAAAAAGAAGAAGAAAATGAAGAAGAAGAGAATGAAGGAGAATAAGAAGAGGAAGAAGAAGGGAAAAAATATAGGGGTAGGGATAGACAGATTGGGGGGAAAACGCATGCGCAACATTATATATATAGGGTGCGCCTGTATGACGGTTACGGAAAGGTGAATAGTGGTACAAGTATAGATTACCTAAGGTTCCGAGGATTCAGCTCAGTCCTCCAGCAAACATCAAAGAGGACTTGTTGATCTCACCGAGCTGATCAAAAAGTGACTGATCCTCGCCACAATCAATTCACACATCGAATAATAAATTCTATCGACTCTAATCTCGTCACTTTTCTGCTAGAAGGAAGATTCATTCCCTCAGCAAGCTAGTCTGCTTTAAAAAACAAATAAAAAGTAAGTAAAACGGATCTGTTTTTCTGTTTTTTTTTTTATTATTATTATTTCTTTTCTATCTTGTGTATGCAATTTTGATTTTTATTTGATAAAATTATTAGCATTATCTATGAATCGACGTATAATATTACGTTTACCGTAGTTACTTTTCATTTCTAATTCGTTTAATTAAAAATTGAATATATATGTGTGTTATGTTTGAATAGATAATTGGTTTAAGGAAATTTTTAGGATTTTATTTTTTTTTTTCTTTCTGTTACTATTATTATTATTATTTTTATTTGGAAATTCGAATATTCTTGAAAAATATTTAATTCAATTTATTTATCGTTTATTATCGTGATTTTTCTCTCCAATCGTTGGGATCATGAATTAAATTTATGTTTCATATTAAACGTATTATAATTTTTAATTTGTTGTATAACGATTAAAGGAACGGAAATGAAAGATGTATTTTCGAAAAAAGATTTGTGTGCCCTAATTAATAATAATCGTACTTTTGTGTTATTAAATCGTTATAATATGTTTATAAATATTTCTATTATTATTTCGTAAGTTGATTACTTTATTACGTTTAACGTTTAAATCGTTTTAGTCACGCAAATGCAATGCTAATCTCTACGAAGAAATTATTATTTTAAAAAACAATGTATGTCAAATCCGTGTGATTGTAAAAATATTACATGAAATCATTTTTTTTTTCTTTTTTTTTCGAAGAATCAAAATTAATTCGACGAAAAGATAAAAAAAAAAGAAATAGAAAAAACCATGCAACATCTTTTCTATCCCCAATTTTTACTTTGACTTTCTTTTTCTTTTTTTTTATATCTAAATATTGCAATTAAATAGAAAACTTTGGACAACGTTTTATCTTATAGAGTTACCGCGAGATAACTAATACTACTTCAATAAAAGAAGCATAAAAAATATGAAGATGCAAGCTGGTATCGCGATCACTATGATAGTTATGATGAGCACGATGCACTTCGGGGCAAATGCATGGGGTGGACTTTTCAATCGATTCAGTCCTGAAATGTTATCTAATCTCGGTTATGGTGGACATGGTGGTTACTTGAGCAGATCTAGATTATTACAGGTATGTTTACTACTAATCATTATCGTCTATTTATCTTATCTTTTATCTTATCTACTTTTTTGCCCCAATACGATAAAAAAAAAAAAAAAAAAAGTAAAAGAAATGTCATCGAATTTGGACACAAAATTTGGGCACAAATTTGGGCATATTTGTTGTATTTTCTGTCGCAATACGCAAAATACCTTCGATCGATAATCCCTTTTCCCCCTCCCCCTACACCCCCTACAAACCTTTCCACCCATCTTGTTACTGCATAAACTGGATATAGCGTTGCTACGTTAGAATTACGTCAATGGTGTTCTATCGTTATAAATGATCAACAATTATCTCGAAACATTAATTATTTTATATCCAATCGGATTCGAAATCAAATCTAATTGCATTAGGTTGCACCATAAGTTCCTTCCTTTTTTTTTCTTTTTTTTTTCTTTTTTGATACGACTTTAATAGACGATATTTTTGTTGTTTAAATTTGATTTATACTGTGTTATATAGGAACCGTTCCGTTCTATTATTTTCTTACACATTATGACCTCTTTCCACAATTTTTGAAACTCACTTGAAAAATATTCATCGAGGTGCGTTTTATTTTCACGGAAATAACTTATGGGACAACCTAATAGTTTGTGTGCGTATATCTATTATTTTTTTATTTATTTATTTATTACATTTCTATTCTTTTTTTTTTTAATTTCGCACAGATCGAATTTGGGATAGTTATATTTGTCGTATAAGGTAGACGGATTTACAATTTTTTTTGTATTAGAATTTGTTATTTATTTGTTTTTTCTTTGTATAATCGTTGCTATGAACGATGAATTGTTAAGATCGTGTAACGCGTAAGATTGTCAGGAATGTAAAATGTTGTAAGAAAATCTCGTTAAAATAATAAGAAAGATACTCAATAAAAGATGAGAAAATGCTAAAAATATTGCGAGAGAGGAGGCAACTTAAAAGTTCAAGCTCGTGTCACCGTCATTAACTGTTTGAACTTACTTACTTGCAGCATCGATCGCGACAATGTAGCAGGTTTCCCCTTTGATCTTATCTGTCTTCATTAAAAAAAAAAAAAAGAAAAAGGAAGTATTGTTTTGTTTTTTGATGAGATTCTATGAAAAATTGTTAAGCTTAATTGATCCTACGATATGTGTAAAAAGTTTCGTGTGCACAGTATATTATATATAGTATTTGACTAGTAGTAATACAGATATATATCAACGTTAAGATTTCATTTGAATAATAATTGTTTAAAAACTTATTATGCATCGGTTTGACCATGAAGAAGTGCATCAACGTAAATCGAGAAAACTAAAAAAAAAAAAATTATGTCCCGTTTTAAATTGGACCTCTGATATTTGATTAAGTTGATTAAAATTGTTTTTTTTTCTTTTTTTTTCTTTTTAATTTGACCTAGTCAAGATTACATAAGAAATGAAAAAAAAAAATACGAGCGCGTACTTGATTAAAATGAAAATGTATAATGAAAGAAATAGGACAAATATTGAATTTAACTTTGACGACTTTGTTACGTTTTTTTTTTTTTTCAAGTTTCGTCGATGTTAATTTTATCGAAAAGTTTGAATATTTCATGTTAACACTTTGAAATCGATAAGCAATTTCATTAAAATGTAAATTATGTTGTTTTGTTTTACATTAAAGGGACCCCTTTCGGGAGGTTATGGGAATTCTTATGGGGATTCCCTGGAAGAGGAATCCGACGATCCCTGTTACGAGAAAAAATGCACAGCCAATGAACATTGTTGTCCTGGTTCGATCTGCGTCAACGTTGATGGCAGTAAATATTCCATTAATGTTTACTTTATCTTTAAATACACGTATATACCTACGTAATACGTGTATATATGCATATATATATATATATATATATATACTATAATGACTTTTATAAAACTTTTATCGTGATGAAAAAATATCGATCAGGCTTATATACATTAATGTTATAAAACTTATAAAATAATAATAATAATAATAATAATAATATAACAGAATCAACACACACGATAAAATGTTAATGTTACAAAGGAATATAAAACGTTATCGGAAAGCTGTCATGCTTTTAAAAGATTAAAATTCTATTTAATTTCAAATAATTCTACGTAATGCTACAGTATTGAATATATAAATAAACAATACATTTATATTTTTACTCTACATTAGAATAAATTATTCAATTCTGAGAATAAGAAAATTTAAAAAAATAGTTTGAATTTAACGAGATATAGATTAGTTAACAATAATTTATGAATAGTAGTAATTAATAATAATAATAATAATACGTTTTACATTTGCTATGAATTTTTAATCAACGCGCGAATGAGAATATTTTTTTTTTTTTAAAGATTATTAAAATAAAATGATTATTAGAAATTGTTCGCGGGGGAAAAGTAATTAATTTTCTTTATTTAAAAGTACGTTTTTATATATCGTTAATCAAAATAAATATAAAAATAAAAAATAGTGAAACAATTTTTGCGATTTCTTGCAATTCGTTTTATTGTTAATTGAAATTTTATTCAATGATAAATTACAGTTATCGGAACTTGCCTATTTGCTTACGGACTAAAACAGGGTGAATTGTGCAGAAGAGATAACGATTGTGAAACAGGTTTGATGTGTGCTGACGTAGCAGGGGGTGAAACTCGATCCTGTCAACCACCTGTCACTTCGAACAAACAATACAGTAAATATCACACATATCTCTCTCTCTAATTATTTTAATTTATTTTTTTTAACAATATTCTTTTTTCTTTTTTATTATCGATAAAATACTCCATCGTTTTTATTTTTTCTGTAGACGAGGAGTGTAACATGTCCGGTGAATGTGATATTGGTCGTGGATTGTGTTGTCAATTGCAAAGGCGACATCGACAAACTCCAAGAAAGGTATAATTCACAAAAATTATTATTAAATATTATTGCTTTTAAAAATACTTCGATAATGTTTTTCAACATTTAAATCCAACATTTTTTATTTTGTTTTTTTCTTATATAAACCTGTTAATAAATTATACTAACAGATGCCACATATTTTTAGTATTTTGTAATTAATTTTTGTCTTATATATAACGAAGTATAAAAATAATATAAAATAAATATCTTGTTGATGTGTTCTTAGGTTTGCTCATATTTCAAAGATCCATTGGTATGCATTGGCCAAGTTGCTACGGATCAAATAAAATCAATCGTACAATACACTTCCGGTGAGAAAAGGATCACTGGACAAGGGAATCGTCTTTTTAAACGAGTACCCTTCGCCTAAACTATTTCTTCCTTGTCATTGGTTACCGAGGAGGAGAATAATTGGGTTAAGATAAATTAAAATGAAACGATGGCGAAGGATTAAAAAAAAAAAAAAGAAAAGAAAGAAAAAACAACAACAACAACAACATAAATTAACATGCAATTCTCCTCCATCAATGCACGATATAGATTTTTAAGTGATGTCGATTTAAATTACGACGATCCCGTTCGTATCCCATGAAGACTCCATTACGAGTTTGATATATATCTCCAACAACAAGAAACAAACAACAACAACGATGTAATTTCTTCTAGAAAACAAAAAAAAAAAGAAGAAAAGAAGGAAGAAGAAAATAATTATTTGTAAAAAAAAAGAAACGGGGAAATAATTCACCAGGGGGGAGGGGGGGGATATATTTAAATCACTTAGTAAGGAGATTCTAGGATGACGATACGAGACGCCTTCTATGGTGTTTTCTCCTAATATTACGACTGATAAAATACAAATTACATATCATACTGGACCGTCGTTGTCGTTGTCGTCGTCTTCTTATATAGTTAAAAACAAATATATATATATATATTATTAAAAACAAGTAAGTAAGTTATATATTAAAAATACTTACTAATGGATCTCTTTTTCGTCGCGAGAAAGAAAGAAAGAAAGATAGAAAGATTATTAGTCACACAAAAAGAATATAAAATTATCTCAATTATACAAAAAATAAGAATAAATAATATATATCAAATGTGAATTCGAATGAAATATTATATATTATACAATAGAATAACGTTTTGGTATAAAAATATGAAACGTTTTCAAATGATAGAAAAATAAAATGAACAAATTTTTAATTAACATTAGAAATAAAACATTTCTCGTAAAACGCAAAACAATTCTATGACAAAAATTTCGAATTATATGGCAAACCCGAAAATACAATAAAACGCGTTACATAGATTTTTTGTTTGTTCTGCTATTTCTCTCTCTCTCTCTCTCTCTCTATCTATCTTTCTTTCTATCTGTTAAAAACGTGTAAGAGAATTCTAAGTTCGATCGTTAATCGCGATCGATTTTAATAATATTTCGCCTTTTCAATCATTGATGATTGAAACGTTTATGATAAGGAATGTATATGAAAATGGGGAGACTATTAACACTGATCGATAGTTAGAAAATCTTACGTAAACGCACACTCTAATTACATAACAAATATTATTATTATTATTATTATTATTATTATAATTGTCATTTTCCTTATTATTATCGTTCTGTAATTAAAATCATTAAAAACAAGAATGATGATGATGATGATAATGATGATGATGATGATGATGATGATGGTAAAATATCGAACGTTCTTATTATCAGTAGTGGTGAAGGAACTAAACTAATTCAATATGGAAAGAAAACGTGACAATGAAGCGAATATAGTATTTAGCATTTAAAAATCGATGTGTTTTTTGATCAAAATAATCGTACACGTGTTGTTTAATATTTATAGACGTCTATTAACAAAATTTACAAAAACCTATCATCCAATTAATCGTTCCTGAACATTTGTTAATTAATCGGTGTAATATATGGCATAGCTATATAATATATATTTAAAAAAAAAAAAGAACAAAATGAAATTAAGACCATACGTAAATATATGTGAAAAGTAATGAATGATGACGATGATGATGATGATAATAATAATAATAATAATAATAATAATAATAATAATAATATCGCGTTGTTAATTAAGAGATATAATAAATATATAAATATATATATATGTGACGCGCGCGTCGTGGAACTATGGTAAATTAATTACGCGTTGACAACACATGATTTTAAGATATTTAATTGCTATTACAATATATATATATATATATATATGAAAATTAATAAAAAAAAATTAATAAACGCGTTCGCGACGTTTAAATAAAGACAAGAAGGAAAGAATTTCACAAGAAAAAAAATATAACAAAATATAAAAAAAAAAAAAGATAAAAATAAAAGAAAATTAAATAAATAAAGAAATGTGAGATGAAAGTGATCATAAACGCGCGCTCGCAAAAACCTTTCTCAAATGCTTAGAGTACCTGTCGCCTTGTCGTACACGTCTTTCCAAATAAATAAAATGATTCCTCGTTTCTATGCGCTACTGATGAGAGTCGTCGAGAGTCCGAATACATATATAAAATAACTATTATTTTCAATAACACACATACACTTACATACCTATATACATATATCTATATATTTAAAAGTGTTAACGTTTATTATAAATATAAGTGAAAAAAAGTCAAAACATATCAATCGAAATGCCTAAAAGCATTATAAAAAATGTTTTAAAATATGAATGTTATATCGAAATTATATTTTTATCTTCGATCAATATGTATAATTATTAAGCTATACATATATACACATACATATATATATTTGCATATAGTATTCATATATTTTCTCGAAGCATATATATATATATATATATTATATACATATATAGTATATACACGTGGTATTTTTTTTTACATACGTCGTACGCATGCAAAACTCGATATGCAATCTTTTAAAACAAACTCTTATCTTCTATTCCATAATTATTTTCTTATTTGTTTTTGTTTTATTTTTTTCTTTCAATTTTATCTTACTGATGTTAAAAAAATTAGAATGAAAAAATGGAACCGCATAAAAATACATATCATAGATGTAAGATAATCTACGATCCTATACGGTGGGAGAAGATCTTTTTAATAATATGTTTATAATACGTGAATTATTATTCTCGAAAATAATCGAATATTCATACGTACGATGTATCATAGTGTTTAAGGAATTTGGCCGTCTGGCTTTGAGTCAAAAGTACCTCTACTGAATGAATTAATTCCAGAGTAAATTATATATCATGTGTGTGCGACTATCTAATACACAAATAAATGTATATCATTCAAACAATACAATATTAAAGAGCTCAAATAGTTAAATGTGAAGTAATGATGGATAGCAAATAAATTTGAAAACTCCTATCGTATATTTTTCTTTACCAAAAAATATTATATATATATTTAATGAACAAGACCTAATTTAAAAAATGAAAATTTAAGAGAGAAAATCGCTTTTTCAATTTTTTATAAAAATTCGATTTTCTCATTATCGCAATGCCGGTACAAACAGATTCCTATATTACCAACCATCTATAACAGTAGATTTCTTCTTTATTACTCAATCAAGCGTTACCGATCGTCGATAATAATAAATTCTTTTTTGTTACCGACTTATTGGTAATAATAGATTCCAGTGTTATCGACCTAACAGTAATAGTGCATTCATTCATATTTTCTGGAATGTCAATAGTAGTAGATAAATGGTTTTTGCATTATTTATAATCGAATAAATTATAACTGTTTGTAAAATTGTATCAGTAAGACTTTAAATTATGGAAACACTAACATATGTACAACATAAAACGTATTTTATTTTTTTTTTTCCTTATTATTAGTTATACATTAAAAAAGGTTGTATTTCTATTATTAGGAAAATTGTTATAACAGAGTTAATGAATGTATTAAGTCTTTTTCAATTTATTATCTTAATGAACTTTAGGTTTGGCAGATTTTACTTTTTTTAATTTTTTAAGGCCATTTATATTTGTTTTTAGGAGATTCCAATATGCTTGCTGGAATTTATTAACGTCTTTGGAATGTATCTGAAAACAACAAAAGTTTAGATTACCTTCTTTACAAAAAATTAATTAGCTATATATATCTATGTAATTTTAGAATGATACTTACAACAGTTGAGATTTTTTTGCTGCGAAAAGTGGCTCGCACCAGGCAAAGAAATTCACTTGGCGTTGATAAAGGTGGTCTTCCTTTTCTAGGTACTGGTTTATTATGTCCATTAACTGTGATTTAAAAATTAAAGATTAAACATGGTGTATTCTTTATGCGGTAACAATTATATTAAATGTCATTCAATCTTGATTAATGCAGTGACTTTAAAATATTATCAACACATGCGAAAAATTATTATGGACGATAATCAAACCAATCAATTTGTTTTCTAGAAGATAAATTATATTGTTAAAATAATTCTCAAAGTAAATAATGATAGATAAAATACACAATGTACCTTTAAAAATACTTACACCTTTTAATAGTTAAAGTTACAGAACCAGATAGTCTTGATTTCTCAAATAGCCTTGTGAGCTCCACTAAGAACTGAAAAATGATAATTTAAATATAATGTTTGTAAGAAATGATATACATTTATTTTACAAATTACCATATCATTTTCCAAAAAGACCATTTTGATTTCACAACCATATGCCACTAGAATATGTCAAATCAGTTATTATTAATTGGTTATGTTCTGTGTCATTTGTATGCACTGCATACTTCGGTTCACAGACCTGATGGGAACCTCAAATAAGTATATTATAGAGAAGTATTCTTCAATAAAATCTTCGGCGGGGTTTTTAAATCAAATATCTTTCAAGATTCTTTTTCTATTTTCATTCTTTTTTATTATATTCTTGTTAACCTTAATTTAATCTAATAAACAGTACTTGAAAACATTATAAATAAAATAGTTAAATAATTTTATAAATGAAATAATGTGTACACTAAGGTACTACTTGTAATTAATTTTGTTATAGATAATTATTAATGAAAACATTATATTTACTTGACAGTAATTCACTTTAAAAACTAAAAATATGTTGATTTAACTCGTTAATAATTAATTTCTAAAAATATTCTTGTATTACCTAATATTTTAGGTTCTGTACTCTTAACACTTTTAGGTTATATTACTTTCTATTGTGTATGTAATACATGTATATATATGTATATATATATTTTGTATGTTACAGCCTCTGTAGATCTGCATCATTTTACATTAGTGGGAAGATTATGAGAATTTCCAAATATGGCAACAGGGATATGATTTCGTTTGGCTATCTATTTGCTTAGTTTTATAAAGAAAATTAATATTAATCATATCTCACACAACTAACTTTGTCTGGTTATTCAACTTAAGATATATCGTTTAAAATGTATGTACATATTTATAATTTTTTACTTATCTACATTATCTATATTGTATAAAAATATATAGAATTTATCTTAAGTTAAGTCACTCTTACATTAATTGTAATAAATTAATTATTTAATCTAAATTAATTATCACATTATCTCTTGTATTTTTATTATTGCAACTATTTTAATTTATTAATATCTCCTTTTTAGGATCAAATATGCGATAATATTTTTAACAATAATTTATTTAACATCAGCTGAAGATTATTATGATCTTCTTGGTGTGAGTAAAAGTGCAGATCAAAGAGAAATCCGTAAAGCTTTCAAAACAATTGCTGTTACTCATCATCCTGATAAAAACAAAGTAATTTATCGAATATTTTATTAAAGTATTTTTTTATTATATTATACAAGATGTATAGTAATGTATTATTATTATTATTTTAGGATGACCCAAAAGCGCATGAGAAATTTATTAAATTAACAACAGCTTATGAAGTATTAAAGGATCCAGAATTAAGAAAAAAGTATGATCTCTATGGAGAAGAAGGTTTTGAGAATATCAACAAAAAGCCTAATTATCATTCTTGGAATTATTACAAATATAATTTTGGGATTTACGATGATGATCCACAAGTTGTCACTCTCAACAGAAATGATTATTGTAAGTCGTATAAAATTTATTTGAATTTTATTTATAAATAGTAAACGATTAATTATTTTTTTAATTTTCTACAGTTGAGAATGTATTTAATTCTGAGAAAATGTGGTTGGTGAATTTTTACTCGCCGATGTGTCATTTCTGCCATCATTTAGCACCAATTTGGCGTAAATTAGCAGAAGAGTTTGAAGGAGTTATAAAAGTAGGCGCAGTTAACTGCGAAGATGATTTTCAACTTTGTCAACAAATTGGTATAACAGGGTATCCTGCTTTACTTTATATTGCAAAGGTATTTATTCTTAAATGCTATATTTAAGTTATTAATAATCTAGTTTTTATATTAAAATATCTAATAATTTTAGAATTCAACAAGTGGGAGACAGTATACTGGAGAGAGAACGCATAATGCAATAAAAGATTTTATATTAAATAAGTTGTATATTAATATTCCTGAGATAAGTTTGTCTAATTGGAAACGTCTTATAAAAAATAATGAACTTATTAAAAAACCCATGCTTGTATTTACTTACAAAAATAAGGAAGAATGTTTATCATCCGACGATCTGCTTAAAGTTGCTGCTATTTTTGTAAGTGCATTCAATAGAAAATAATTAATGTGTCATAACATATATTATTATTATAGGATAAAACATTAAATATTCAATTACTTCACTGCAAAGAAAATGAATGTGATGATATTTCCGATAACACTTGTGCGATTTTTTTGCCAACGATAAGTGACAAACAAACTTGGGTACCCATATATTTGAAAAATATAGAAAATGTCAAAGATTTAATAGAACAAGTTTTAGAACAATTACCAGAACCAAAGAATCTTACTGATAATGAATTTGAGGTATTAAAATTTGATTTAATTATGATTTTAAAAATGTACATATTAGATATAATTTTAAGTAATAAATTTGGAATTTTTATTTATAGGAAATAAGAAGAGAGCTTAGAAAAGAAGCAGGGATAGGTTGGCTCGTATGTTTTTATATAGGACATTCAACTGAATTAGATTTAATACTTAAGAAACTTCCTAATGTTATTAATACTATTAATCTAGGTATCCCTTATCGTATATTTCAATTTATATGTGTCTTTAATTTAAAACTTATTTTATATTTATAATTCATAGGTAAAATTAATTGCGGAAGGTACGGATATCTTTGCAATACATTAGACGTGAACAGATATCCAATGTGGGGTGTTCTTAAGCCTGGAGGAGCTTTCGAATTAAGTCATGGAAAAAATACAATTCATGATATTGCTAAGTTTACTACAAGTAGTATTAAAGCTAACAATCTATGGGCTTTATCTGCCGATAAAGTATTATCAATATTACAAAGAAATAGTGGTAAATGATATTTAAAATTAAACAGGAATAATAAAATACATATTCTTATTAATTCTTATGTTTTATTTATTTTATTTCAGGTAAAGAAGTATGGTTTCTAGATTGGTTTGCACCATGGTGTCCTCCGTGTATGCAGTTTTTACCAGAACTTCGTAAAGCATCTATGCAATTTAATAAATCGGTTGTACATTTTGGTACGATTGATTGCACCGTGCATTCTTCGATTTGCCGAAAATACAATATACGTTCTTATCCAACTGCAATGCTCATTAATGGAACAAAAACATATCAATTTACGGCACACAAAACAGCTACTAATGTAATACAATTTATAAATGACATACGAAACCCGTCAGGTAAAAAATATATTATGAGATATAGTACTTTTAATATTATATGTGAAGGAACATATATATTTATAATTTGTATATTTTCTGTATTTAGTTATACAATTATCTGCCAACAATTTTAATCAATATCTTGAAAAAGATAAAGATAAAACCATATGGATTGTTGATTATTTTGTTGGTTGGTGCGCACCTTGTCAACATTTAGCACCGGAATGGACTGCTGTTGCTAAAATTTTGAATATTCTACCATTCGTTAAGGTAGCCAATGTTGATTGCGAAGTAGAAAATAATTTATGCAGATTGCAAGAAGTTGGAAGCTATCCTAATATACGATTGTATCCAAGAGACCGTAAAAATTTGAACAAAGCTATGTAAGTCTAAGCGACGTTGTTCTGATGTATCATATGTTCATCATACACTTTTAAAGTTATATTCAAGGATGATAAATAATAAATATTTTAATTATAGAAAATACGATGGACCACATAAAATGTGGCACATGTTAAAATGGATTTCTACATATTTTCCAACTAAAGTTTATGATTTGGATCCAAGCAGTTTACGAAAGAAAGTATTTTCTGGAAAGAATGTGTGGTTGGTTGATTTTTATGCACCTTGGTGCGATCATTGTCAAAAACTTGACCCACACATTTCAGTCACCGCACAGGTATAATTTAGAATTCATGTATCGTAACATTTTTGCATTATTATTATTTTATAGATTATATAATATGTGTGGGAAGCATCATTTTCAAAATGTATTTGTTTTCTTTCCAGTTATTTAGCAATAAGGTAAATTTCGGAAAATTTAATTGCGAGCAGTATCATACACAGTGTTCGCAAGCAGGAGTTAAAGCATATCCGACATTAATTATTTACGATAGAAAACACGATATAAAAGATGTCGATAAAGGTTTTCAAATTATGGCAACGTCATCTGAAATGATTAAAGAAAAATTATCGAATTATTTAAATACTAATAAGAAGAATAAACGCGACGAATTATAACGATAAGTAATGTGCATAATATGAGCGGTGCATAATCGATAAAAGAAAAACACACAAAATTACATTACATCACGATAAATGAAAAAAATATTTCATAATTCTTTTTACGAATGATGTAACATTTGAAATCTCAAAATCTTATCTAATTTAGATTTAACATTTAAAAAAATACATTTTTATAAGAAAAATTTATATTTTTTTAAATAGTAACAATATTTCCGGTCACATTGTAGACCAACGTAAGTAATATATTTAATACGTGCATTTAATAATTGTATGCATGTATTATACGTGTCTATGATTAAATGAGCACTATTTACAGTGCGATTCAACTTCCCTTTTATGAAATACTCAATATTCAGTATATTCAATGATGCATTTATATTTAAATATTCTATATATATCTTTACTGTGATATATGAATAAACTGTTTTTACATCTTAGCATCATTAGCTCTATTTACATAAATGTTTCATTGATTTTATTAAATAGGATATTTGAAAGTTTTTTATTTTTGCAAATAGAATACGTTGACATCGTTTGATCGATAAAACCTCGGACATCCTGTATAGAACAATAGACAAAAAATAAATTTTATCAAAATGTAGAATAAATTCTTTTTTTTTTTAGACAATTATAATAATAAATAATTAATTATATAAATTCATTAGATAAAGGGAAAAAAGAGGAGAGAAGAAAAATAATAAAATATCTTCCAATGAAAAAAAACGATAGTTTTGTTTAACATATATGTAGGAATACATATATGTAGGATACATATACATATATTTCTTTAATATATATTAATTATATTTGGATAATTCACATTATTTTATATATGAGAAGTTTATTTATATTTTGTACAGTGCCGTTGATTGCACATTTTAAATACATATACAAGATTAATATTAGGGTAGACACACTACATTTATAAAAGTAAATACTCGAATGAAAAATAAGACACTCTCGGTGGTTTAGCATAAAAAATGTTTCTTTTTTATATCCACATATTTTCTTAAATCGTTGTTTTCATTTTCTAAATTTATGTTTTAGCAAAGAATCAGCTAATAGAAATTTATTTAAATTCAATCACGCCAAACATAAGATTTATTCTAAACAAAAATAAATTGGACACATTTTTATCTGTGGAATGTATTATAAAAATATTCTATTTTTGATCATTCACAATTTTTCTAATTCTCATCAGAGAAATGTTATATTTTTTAGTCCGAATTACGTTTATGTGCCCCTCATAATAAATCCATTCAATTACTGTGTTTTATATTTATATATCACATTAAATTAATTAACGCATAGGCAGTGTAAACATAAGGACATCAACGTATGGTACGCGCGCGTGTGTGTATATGTATATATATATATATATATATATATACAAGCTTTGATGAATATAAAAATATAAATAGCAGAAAAATAATATTTTTATCTCTCATTTTTTTAAATATATTCGTTTCGAATAACTCAATTAAATTAAAAAATAATATAGATAAATATTTCATGAATAAGTCGTATTTTTTTTTTTTACTGATTTTTACAGTCTTAATATCGCATCATCTTTGGTTGGTGTGATAAAACACAAATTTATGTTTATATATATATATATATATAAAAATAAACGAACGTGTTTATAGATAAATTGCATTAAAGGTAATTTGGTAATACAATTTTATATAAACTTTTAATTTATTATTAATTTATTATTAATTTATTTTTGTTTCAAAAAATTCGTGATTCAATTAGATATAAATAAAGTAAAATAATTGTTTTTGGTAAACTTATATTAAAACTTTCTGGAAACATCAAATTTTAATTTTTTAGCAATTAATAAATGTGCAGTGCAAAATATGAGTTATACATACGGATAAATGCATAAATACATAAATAATAAGTGAATGGCAATAGCAAGTTATATAGTTTTATAGAGAAAATTCTATCGAAAAATTGCTATTATCTGCTACAAGCAGTGATTATATTAACGATTTATGTAGTATTGATATACCAAATCGTATACATCTATAAATAGTAACTTAAAAAAAGAGAGAGAGAAAGAGAGAGGAAATATTTGTGTTTTTATAGATTTTCCTAAATATCACGATTTCTTCAAATTTTCTTATGGTTATCTCAATACGTTGTTTGGTCAGTTTGCTTTTTATTTTTAGATTTTATACTGTATATCATATTTCCTTTCTTTCGATTACTATCTTTTCTACTTGCACGCAAAATGTTTTTAAAATATTTAACTTAAAGTTAATTATACGTATAATACAAATAAATTTTGAATAGACACTTAAAAATTCCATTCATATTTTGTTTTATATAAATTTAACATTAAAAATAAATATGCAAGTTTTTATTGCTTCCTTAAGATTTTAAACACATTCAGCGTTCTTATTACAGTACTACAAAAATGTTCCAAATATTTGTAACAATAGTGTAGAAATTTTATTTTGTATTGTTTCTTTTTTTTTTTTTTTTTATAAGCACATGTGCGTGTTATGTATAATAAATATAATTTCACATATAATATAACAATGCATAAAAATATATATAAATAAAGTAGCATATTTCACATTAACGTGACAATGCGCTACTAATATTTCTAAATCATTTGTAATTCATCATAGTACTTTAAATTATTATGCATTTCGAAGATATGACTATATGATTATAAGAAATTATTCAACAGAGCATTTAGAAATGTAGAAATTTTAGAAACTCAAAATTTTGAAATTTTACAATATCATTTGTAAAAATTAGATGTAATTGTATGTGTTTCTGTCATTTTTTATGTATATATATATATATATATTTGTATGTATATACATAAAATGTATGTACATGTATTGTATATACATTTTACTTTCATTATAATTATTTGATGACAATTTTCGTTTATATTATGCTCTCATATTTAATTAGAAATAATTTATTATTATTTCCTATTTTATTATCTTCGATACATACTGACAAATCTCAGTTATCGTCTTGTGTATTGCCATTTGCAGTTAAGCTCTGTATCACATCTTTTTACAAGTATGTAAATATTCTTTATAATCATCGAGAAGCAAGCACAATAATCTGTAATTTATTTATCCGTATAAATATTATAATTTAACAATTTCAACGATAATAATTTATATAGAAATATTTAAACTGCAATAAGAAAAAAAGAAAGTACATACCAGTAAAGTGCCGTTTATAATTTGATCATAATTTAAATATCTCGTTTAGAAGGTGGTATTAAATGATCAGGAAGTTCCGCTGGAAGGTCGTAACCTTCTAATTTAACGTTAATTAAATGCATTGCCAAAGCAAATTCATCCGAGTCCAAAAGTCCATCTTTATCAATGTCGGATAATTTCCAAATTTTTCCTAACATACTATTCGGTAATTTGGACTTAATCATTTCAGATTTAGCAGCTATAAATAAAGTTTAATATGAGAATAGATATATAGTTATCGTATTGCAATATTATAATAATTGTAATCGAATATAAGTTCATCGCATATTACGATATGTCAACAAAATGACATCAGAAAAAGATAAAAAAAAAAAAGTTACCTGCTCCTGTTATCTTTCCGTCAGTTGGACCAAGGGTTTCAAAAATACTATCATATTTATATCTATCTTTATTAACAATCCATTCGGGTTCACCTGCACCTGCATCTATACCTTCACCTCTTTTGTATCCAAATGGACTAATCTGATCTTCCACACCTTCAAATGCACCACCTGTGCAGATAAAATATTTACGTTCTGTATAATAAACGAGTTCATTTAATTTAAATTTTTGAAATCATAAATATTTTTATCTTGGATTTGAGAGAAAAATAATAATTTTAATGTAGATAATTAGATTCATAATTTACTTATAAAATTGTATCACAAATATTTAGTTCTTTTTATATCTTTATAGACGATTCATGGAAACGAAAGCAATATAGATAAGATATGAAATTAAGTAATCTTCTATTTCTAGTATTGATATGATATATTATATGAGCTTATTTTTTTAAATTTTAATTTAATAATTAAAAACAAAAAATAATTTCTATTTAAAATTCCTTCTTCTATAAATTTTAATTTAATGTTATAATCAATGAAATATTTCTTTAATGAATACCTTTAATTAATGGCTCTGATGTAGTGGCTACTTCTTCGTGAGGAATCATAGCCATTAATTTAGCAATATCTTCCGCAAGCATTTTATCTACTACTTCCAATAATTTTGTTTTTATTGGATTAAATTTACTAAAGTCATGATGCATTAAAGATTCCTGCATTTTCTTAAGGTTTGGAAAATCTCCAGGAGAAATTTGTTGTTCTCGTTGAATTTGATCATAAATTTGACCTAAATTTTTTATAAGTTCTTTCTTTTTCGAATCTTTACCAAACATACTTGGCATATCTTTTCTCAATGCACTGATTATGTATGCATGTACCTGTAATTCAAGAAACACATTGAGTCTAGTACAACAATACTTAAGAAAACATAGTCTTATTAAATGATTTTAATTATTTTTTACCTTTGCTAATCGTGCTCGTTTGATTAAATCGTTAAGTTTTCTTAATGCAGCATTTCTTGGTAACGATTGCATATCTCTAAATAAATCTTGTTCTTCGTCTTCGAATAATCTGAAAAAAATCACACACTTAAAATAAATAAACCTAATAAGATAAAGAAGATCAATAAGATAAAAAGAAAAATCATACCGTCTATTAACATCATATCTTAATGGTTGATCCCAAAATGAACCAATATAAACCCTAGCAACTTCAGGAGTTTGTAAAACTTTTCCTAAAGACCACATAAGTGCACCATATACTCTCATAAGTTGTTGATGATCTATCATATCTGCTTTATTAAGAACAATTCTAATTTTATCGTCGTGGCCTCTAAGGGCTTCTATAGATCTTCTAAATTCATCTGAAATATCGAGTTTATGCGCATCAAATAATAATATAATTCTGTCTACTCTCTCTGCAAACCATTCTAAGACACCGGTGAAATCGTAACCTCGATCTACCTATAAATATAAATAAAAGAGAAAAATAAAAACACAATATACTCTGATTAAAATTAATCAAATATATCTAATGTAAAAAGATACATACTCGTTGTTTCTCTCCGGAAAGAATTCCAGGCGTATCAACAATAGATATTCCTTTGAGAACTGGAGATGAAACAGTAGAACATTGAAATCTATTGAGGAATGCATTACCGAATTTTGAAAGTGGTCTAAATTGTTTATTCGGATCAACAACTAAAGCATTTCCAGGAATAACACCTTCCTTTTCATCATACATAACAGCAATGAAACGATCCGTTGTTGGTTCTGGACCAATTCTTATTCCAGGAAATTCACGTTCCAACAAATATTTAATAAAAGTTGTTTTCCCAGTAGAATATTGTCCTACCAAAAGGATCATAGGTTTTGCATCAAAATCTGGATCATCCAATTGAGGCGAATGAAAGTCATGGAATTGATAATGTTGTTCCAAGGGTAACAATTTAGCTCTATATATTTTTTTAAGACCTTCGGTAACATTCTCAAAGAGATCTTGTTTGCCATTTTCATCTCGACTGAGCCAACTGAACATATTGACGATTGACAATATATATTAATCTAAAAATGAAATAATATTATATCATTTAATGATAATAAATCAGAAATGTGCAAGATTGTGTTATTTAAATATTTTTTTTTATGCAGTTTGTGAGAACAAAAGAAAAAAATTAATAATAAATAAAATAGTAGAAACTATACATATGAGAATAACCATGGACGTACGTGAAAGTAAATATAATAAGAAATTTCCATGAGAAATAATTATGGTTAATGATGAATATATATATAAAGAGAGAAAGAGAGAAAGCAATGGGAACTAACCTGTCCTTTTCTCTTAGTTGTATGTACATGAACAAACGACTTTAAAATGAATCGATGCAAACAAATGGGTGGTCCTTCTTAAATAATCCAAAAAATTCAACGAAATAATAATTACAATATTTTATACTTAGTGTATTTTATTATCCGAATACACGTACACTTGGCTCCGAAAGAATTTCTTTTTAAATATTCGAGAATGTTGCAAAACTGAATAAAAAGTCTTTGATAGATGAACTAGAGGAAACTATATTGATAATTTCTAAGGCTTATACTATTTTAAAGAGACGTTTAACGTTTAGTAGAACGACGATTACGATTCAGAAACGATGAATAGGCGGGCTTTCTGATAATGACGCGATATACCGAGCTGTTTCCCCGTATTAAAACGTACAAACACAATGGTGAAGTGACGACGTGTCGTTCTCGTATGCACCAGCGCAAAGCACTACCAAGTGACAAGATCCAAATATATATGTATATATATCTATATATAGTACATGTATGGGTATGGGTATATATATATATACATATCTATCTATACAAGGTGTCTTAAAAGTTGCTTCATCGAATTGAATAATTTTTAGTAGGTCTTCAGTTTTTTTGTTTTCCTTTTTAATAATTTTTATACGCATTAATATGTTTGTTAACAACATTGTAAAATGCAGATTTTTGATCTTAATATATTTTATACACAAATATATCATAATTTTAGAAAATAAATTTATATTGTTTTATTATATCGGTAAAAAGAGAGTGACTTTTTAGACACCCTGTATATGTGTAAACATCTGACAAGTTACCACGATGAGATTGTATAGCATATGTAAATGAATAAGAAACGAATGATCTCTAGTATTGTATGATATTACTTGATTATTACATTTTTTTTTAAATATTTTCGTATATATTATTTTATTCTCGATTAACTAATGATAATAATTAGAACTAGTTAACAATGTTGATAGCTGAAGAAAATTGTGTTTCTTTTATGAAAAGTTTTTATAAACGATATCAATGCTGTTCTAGATTGAGTTTCTATTAGAAACATTAAACTCCTCCTTCAAATTAAATTATCCACATGCAGTTTATTACTATATTGTTTATTACGAATATTTATTGCTTGTAATTTTTATTTTATTATTTTATAATTGTTTATTCTTTTACTTTTATTTAATTTGCCTAATTTCCGCGTTATTCGAAATTCTTTTTTCAATGGCGTGTAATAAACTTTGTTTTGTTTTTATTAATTATTATTTTACTATGTTTAAAATTATTTATAAATTTTAGATATATTTATTTAAAATAGATACGTCTTTTTGACTTATTTTAAATAATTCGCGCGTCATAAAGATATGGCGCGAAAATAACGCCATTTTCAAAGATAATTTTATAACTTCGATTCTTAATAATATAATTAATAAATTAAAAAAGTTTTTTCTATCGATGTTAATGATTTTTTATGTTCTATATCTTAAAAAGATTATTTTTTGTAACGAGATCAAAGTTAAATACATTAAAACGTCTAGTAGAAATGTTTTCATTTACAAAAGATCTATGTAATGTCAAAGGTCAGTTGATTAATCACAGAAATCTTTCTTTAAAAATACTTAATCTCAACAACTTTATCATTAGTGTCTTAAAGAAACATTTTATCTAAAGTCATCGATCAAATTTTCAATATAATTGTTCTATTTTATGTAGGTAAAAAAAAGATAATTGTTTAATAGTACAATTAGAAAAAATTCAAAATGTCAGCTAATATAAAAATAATAAAATATTCAAATAAATCTAATGAATAAATAAAAATTCAATAATAAAATAAAATTATATATATATAAAGATACCAAATGACATTATTTTTTATTGAACTGTTCGAAGTATTTAAATATTAATTATTATTATTATTATTATTAACAATATAATATATTTAAAAATATCATTAAAGTATTGATTCATTATTTCATTGATTTATTATTCAAGCAAGAACGTTTGTCCACTGATTTTCAAGTGCTTTTATTAATATCATTTAAAGTTCATTATTAGGCCATTGAAAAAAAGATAATTGGTGAATAGTTCTCATCTCTAAAAGGATCCACCGATTAGGCCCTTTTAAGAAAGTTATCTATCTATCTCATGTGAGTCAAATCGAGAGAAAGAAAGAAAGAAAGAAAGAAAGAAAGAAAGAAAGAAAGAAAGAAAGAAAGAAAGAAAGAGAGAGACTGATACTTATGATAAAAGAAATCTAATCTAAACTTTTGTTAAATATCCAAACACTGTTTCACTAATGTAAATTAATTTGGACTCTTAACATAGTTTCCACAAATAAAAAACAACGATTACTTCATTCCAATGAAATAAATGATCGCGACAGATGTTTCTAAACAATAGACGAATTTTAATTTCTTAGACTAGAAGACAGTAAGTTTGACGAATGGGAGCTCTTGCACTTGCACTATAATCCTTGGTGTTATTACGCAATGATATATGCGAACGATTCAGTGTCATTCGTCGTTGCGTAAGTTAAAGCGGACACATCCTGGTTAAACGATCTTGTGTCAATTTACCGGTTTTAACGAGATTATCTATTAAAGTTGGAGTTATTTTAAGCTTTAGTCAGATTTAAATAATTTATCAATGTTCGTTTTTTGTTTTTGGTTTTTTATTTCGTTACATTTCTTTTTTTTTATTTTTTTTTAATGTTTTTTTTTTTTGACAATAAACGTATTTCAAACAAGATATCAATTTAAAAAAGAGACAATACTTTATACAACATATTGTATAAATTCATTATATGATTATAATTTTCATATCAAAATAATCGTTTAAATAAATTTATTCGCAATAGATACTGGTCTTATTATAATGCAATTTAATGCACGCAATTTTAATACTAATCAAGTTCATTTTCCAATAGATTAATTTTAAATCTATCTTATTTTTGTATATATTCTAAATATTACAAATATTGATAATTATTAATTAGCTAGCTATCATTTGATAATTAGCTAATAATGAATTAGCATAAATCTTGTTTCTAATTTTTCGTGAGTATTTACATTAAACATTCTTCCTCCCAATTTTCAGGAAGTACTTCTTTCCAAATGTGCAATAAATTCGACAACAAACAGGGTTTCTTGCAATTAGGTATTTCCATAGGATGCGGCTTAATCGTTTCTGAATTATTCAAATAAGACACCTATGAAAATAAATATAGGAACATTTTTTATTATTTTATTTCCAAGTATTTTAAAAGAAAAATGATATAAAACATATGAAATAAAGATAAAGAATATAAGAAAAGAAAGATAAGAAAGGAAACAAAGAAGATAAAGAAAATGAAATAGTGATCGATAGAAAAATCACCTTGACTTCTCGATCTTCGTTATAATACGAATGCAATTCGAAAATTAGGGTGGCACCGTATTCTGGAAGGAACCATTCGTTTGTGAAACCCATTGTTCTTAAAACATTAACCATTGTTATGTCGTGAACGGAATAGAAGTACGCCCTTCTTGAATTTTCTCTTATTATTTTTTCTTGCATCTTATTAACAACTTCTTTCAATAATGGTCCTAGAAACAAAAAAGAAAAATATTCTAAATGATTAATAAAATAATGCTGTAGGATAAATGAATAAAATTAAAATTAAATCAATTCTTATTCGTAGTAAGTGAAGCTAATTATTATTATTATTANAATTATTATTATTATTATTATTATTATTATTATTATTATTATTATTATTATTATTATTATTATTATTATTATTATTATTATTATTATTATTATTGTTATTAAAAAATAGTTAATGCTATTGATATTTCATTAATAAATAATATTACCTCCGTATAAACGTTTCAACAAAGTGTTACTCGTGAGCAATGCAATGGAACGTGCAGCAAGGTTTCTCATTTTTTCATTAAAATATTTTTTCGTCCATTGTGGAAGTTCTAATCCATGTTCAGCTTCGATTTCGAGTACGTTGTACAAAAATTCAACATCCAGAATAGTCCTTACCGGTTGTTGAGTATAATTGCTTAATTCGTCATAATAATCAGCCAACATTTCATCGGATCTTTTCGATTCGTTATATCTTGCTTGGTTCAATGCGTTTTCTAAATTTGGGCAATAGGCTTTAACCGTTATCAACTGTAATAATAATAATAATAATAATAATAATAATAATAATAATAATAATAAAAAATTAAATTAATTATAATTTAAAATAATTATTGTAGTGTGTAAAGTACAAACACGCACATATGAAGAACATGTGCTATTATTTAATATGTTCACGAATTGAAGTTTCATTGGAAATGAAAAACAGATGATCGATTATGTAAACCCGAATTAACCGGTATTTCTAGATAAACCAATTAATTAGTAATGCATGAGATATAATTAATTCTTTCCCCCCTTATGACTCCCTTGATCGATCACAAGATTCATTTACATACTTATTTGATAAGAATTATAAGACATACATCATCCAATTCTCTTGGTATTGTATGAACTGGTATAGGACGCCATGGCATATTTGGTACAAATATTTCTTCGACCGTTGGTGGATATAATCCAGCTAGCAATGTTTGTGCCGACATGATGCAACGATCGGAATCACTGCTACGAACATATACAATCGAGCTGTTGTATTTAAAACCAACTATGGGACCATAAGTTTTGCGTATCCATTTTCCAACGTTGTAAAGCTGACGCATTCCTTTCTATAATCAAATTATCACAATTGAAATGGTAATCTTTTGAAAAATGTATTTATCAATAAATCGTAGATTTTTATTGCTCGATGATTAGATAATTAAAAAAAAAAAAAATTATAACAGCAGATGTTTCTTACGTAACTTCAATCGTATATTCGTTCGTTTTATATTTGATATCGAAAAATAACGCGAATCGGAATATTTGAATATTGTATGTCCAGCTTTATTTTTTTTTTTTCTATTTTTTTGTTCTTGTCTAGAATTGATTTTTATACTATATCGAAATAATTAATATTTAATAAGTAATTATATTTTTGATATTACCGTCGTAAGAGCACCCCAACCACCGGGCCATGAATAATTTATATATGGATCTGCAAGGTATGTGTGTAATGGTGTTCTATCACCGTGTCGGAAAAGCTATAATTAAATAGATTTTTTAATTAGTATCAAAATCTTAGATAAATTATATTTAACATTGGAGAACTACAATTAATTTTCTATTTTTTCTTTTTTTTTTTTTTTTAATATTTTGTTTTATTATTTATTAATTAATTTTATAAATTAATACCAGAGAATTATATTAAAATTAATCAATTAGTTTTTTTTTTCTTTTTTTTTTTTCACTAGCATAATATTTTGTATAATATTCCCCTGCGGGTCTGGGGATAAGAATAAGACCGCAGTAATCCCTGCTTGTCGTAAGAGGCGACTAATAGGGAAACCATTAGGGGTGCCAGTCATTTGATTTGGTAAAAAAAAAAAACAGTAAAAAATAATTATTAATAATTTTAGTTGACTAAGAGTCATGCTCGGATTCATGTGTACTTTAACAAAAAAAAAAAATATACTTACGAATGACACCTGTTCGATAGTATCGTTCTCGTCAACGGATGATGCCAATGCAGTATATGCGAAAAGTATCGTACCAATAATTAAACTTAATAATACGAGTGTAACACAAATTCCACGTTGTTGAACATGGCACGATCTTCTATGAAATATTCCCCTTGAATTCATGTTTCTACAAATGAGAAAAAAAAAAAATACGATCGTAATATCGGACTTCTCTAGTACTTCTGATGGCGAATACAAATTTTAATATACTGAATCGATGATTGAGGAAGACGTTTAAATACTCGACGAAAAAACCTTGACCCTAGCGTTATAAAGTGACCCACGAAAAAAATATAAATGACAAAGAAACGATGAAATTTCAACATGATTAATTATTGTTTTGAAAATCATGGATTTGAAAAATAAAATTTTGTAATAAAAAAATATAATTATCTATTTGTATATAAAAAGATTATTTGTATTTTTTTTGGTA